CGATTAATATAGTTTTTCTCTTCGACGTGTCCAAACGAAAGGTGTACAGCTGTACTTTCAAGAAATTGCATACACGTACGAGCCGGAAGCAGCATGAAGCAACTACAAGATCACCTGTCTCCTGTTCCGAGGGAAGTCAATGACTAAGGTAACCAACGGCATTTGGCCGCGTCATCATTTTCCCCTCGACCAGTCGGACGATCACGTCCGTCGGAACGCGCTTCATCATCTCCTCAAAGCGATGACCTTACTCGGATGCGAAATCCACCTCGGATCGCAGCATATCCCGTGGCGGAATGAGCCACAGACCGTATCTCGTGACGAGCTTTCCGTCAAGGGTGAAATTTACTTGTTTCTGAATCACGAAAGTAATGAGGCTTTTGCTGTGCTTGAGGGCAGTCGACTACGCTCTGTGAAGTCTTCCCGATGGGATACCGTTGTCCCATCTCTTACCAAAGGAGACATTCATTTCAAGATATAATACCTTGACATCCAAATCTGCTATTTCCGTATTATCAATTTTACCGCGAGAGATTACTGAGAAACTACTGAGAGACATTAAGTTAAATAACATAGCAATGTTCATACTCGCATGTTCACTTCACCTAGGTTGTTGAAATCCTTGAGACAAATTTTATAAATGACTTCTTACGATAGAACATAAAACATTGATGCAAGAATTGAATACTTTCAACTACAAGAGTTGAATATTTTACAATCACGAGGAAATAATGAATATTTGAAATAAATTTCTTATTTCTGTTTTAATCTAACGCATTTTAATAAATTAACACGTAACGTAGTAGTACATTTAACGGGAAAGAACATTAAAGATGTAAAGAATATTATTAGGTGTGTGCACATAAGTTTCCAACGCTTTTTAAATGAGTAAAAGTGAAGCTTGTCAACTAGAAACAGCAAACAATTAATCAAATCTCCCCCTCGCTTTCGACAAACTTCTGCCAGAAATTTATCAATTTCGTTATGATAAAATGATACAGTTTCGCGTAAAAAATGCGACCATAACAACGTACGGCCAATCTATCGTACGTCGCATCCATAGAATCGCAAACAAGAATCGTTTGTCATGTGCGTGCTATCGTACGCAGCCATAGTAACGACATATACTGCATTATTGACACAAAGTTAGTCGGTAGTTAATGTCGTTCGTAGTGGATTTGCAGAGCGGTGCATTATATACGCGGTTATCAAACCTTGTATTATCATATGTAATTTATCATATGTGGCGTCCGCTTGCATGCAAGCAAGTATTATTTTGCCACTCGTGCACACTTTAATAGAAATTATTCGCGCTCGCAGCACTATTTAACCATCAGCAATCGTGAAATAACTTTTTTCATCAAGTAACCACTTTATATAATTTGCATTAATATCCCTGTCAAATATATAATAATAGTCAAAACTCCTAGCACGTCAGAGGAACGGTCTGAGCGAACCAACGCGAAAGTCGAATGATACAGTCAGAGAAAAAAAAAGATAGATTACGGTGAGCTTAAAAACGGCGGTATCAAGAAAAAACTCACGGGCGGGAGCGGCGACCGGAAATGTTTATACCTGAAGATGTCGTGGACGAATGATAACATGCCTAGTTAGTATACAATAATAAAATTGTCCAACAGTTAATTAAAATTTTAATCAAGTCACTTCCGTAAAATCGCTTTTCTAATAGTTTCTAATAGTTTCTAGCAGGTCATCATAACTGGTAAAAATCATTCAGCTATAACGCGTACGCATCTGTTATAGTCGCTTCTTCTTATTTTTTATTCACAAAATAATAAACGTTGAAAATATTTATGTATATACAGAAAAAAAATCAAATGTACACAATAAAGCAATATTAATGTTAATCGTCGCTCACTACAGAGTAATTGATATGGCGAGCTTTGATCGACGGATTTGGATTTGAATAATTTCGGAATTGTGATTCTAATTGATATACAAATCTAAGCGTGAAGAAACTCGTTAATCAATTCATTACTGAAACACTCACAAAATCAGTCGCGCGGCGCGAAGGCCGATATAATTTCAGAAATATATATTTTTTTTATCTTCAAGACTCATATATGGAAAAACTATTCGCCAGTGAACTTTTCTTCGCAACGTGAGATAAGCATCTAGCATGAGAGAATGATATTTTCGACGGGTCCCCCTTTGAAAGGGCTGCTCGAGTTGTCCGCACGATCGATGTTCGAGCTGTAACGTCGGGCAAATAGCGACGCATCCGCGCTTCAAGACAAACCCGGTACACGGAAGGATCGTGATCCTCCGATGACCGCATGCCGATTCCCCTTGGAGCGTCTCCTACTGACCGCAAGCGATCCCACCGGGTGTCCCGGGAATTCCATCCGGCGGTCGCATTCTCGACGGTCGATGGGAAAGGCCGCGGCTGGCTCTCAGCACCTAAATCAATTAAATATCTTGCAGTGGCCCTCCCGCTCGGTCACTTGCGTCGCGAGCTGGTCGTCACAACGGCATAGTTTCTCACCCATGGTTGCGCGACCGCATTTCCATCGTACGGCACAACGACGAAATTTACGCGGGGCAATAGGAATTTTGAAAAACGAAAATAATGACCCAACGTACTTTTGCGGTTTTTAACGTATTGAATTGTAACATATAGGAAAGTTGTGTAGCATACATAATACGCGGAGAGATGGAAAATTTCAGTAAGATCGAAGCAAGTTCCGCATTTAGTGCTCTAAATAGAATGAAACTTTAGAGCGAGGCTTTCTAACGAAATGTAAAACGCAAATGTAAAATATTGAAGCGACGATAAGGTACGGCAGTGGACGCAGTAAGAATTTTTCACTTCACTGGCAGGTACCGCACTGACAAAGCAAGAAACACGCAAGTTTTCAGCGCTAATTTTCTGCACCGTTGATTCTGTGATTCTTCAGTAAACCGCGCACGTTAATTATACCTTGTAGTATGCTCTCTTTCGGATGCAAATCCGGAAAGATATACGTATTAGCGAAAGAGAACCGATTGCGAGAGGGAGGATTCAAGTTTCGGCCGTTAAGTCGAATAGTCGAGTTCTATTAAAATAAATGGTATACCCACGTTGATAACAGCCTGGCCAATTATAGAGACGCAGCGCATCCAGTTCATTTTCGTTCAAGTCTCGTTTCGGACGGACATCGTGGATAATGAGTGGGATTCAATATGCTTTCATGCAAATTTCCAGAGGGGCTAAAATGATCGCAGCTTCGAGTTGCTCGTTCAAATATTATATGAATCATGCTGACGCTTAAAAAGTACAAAATTCTCTGCGGCATTTCCGCGGCTCGATTTCCACCGGATTGTATCTATCGCCTTCAGCCATACTTTTTTTCATTTTTCCATTTTAGATGTTCACACATGGAATTATGCGGTCGAAAGAGGAATCGCCGGATATATTTCTTATTTCTCAATGCACAATGATTTTCAAAATGTCTTTTCTCCAAAGTAATTCGTTTCATTGGCCTCCACATCAGTATGCAAATCATCTGAAAGAGCGAATATAAAAATCAGGGATATGTGTCAGTATAATAAATCGCGGATCTTCGTCGAGTCTCCTCGGGCGCGCTCGAAATCGCGAGAGAATGTAACGCTTCGACGAAGTTCAGCATCGTGAATTAAATGCAACCTGAGTCGTCTCGTTTCCATCACCAGCCACGGCGAACTTTCAATTACCCTTCCTATTCATGTTTCACTCTATTCTGGAACTTCTCTATCTTTCGCGAAGATCTTTTCTTCCGCTCTACTTGTCCTCGCCCGTCGCTCAGTTGCGTAATCCGCTGGGGCAAAAGTTATTAGCAAATGTACCGATCCATTACGCGACAATAAATGTGAAATTTACGTCAAGTTAATGCGAGCATTAATTCGTCGTTAATGGGTGGAAGAAACATAAGGACGCCTTAACATTATCCATCCTCGTAACGAATGTCAGCGAACGCATCGAGATCACGGCAACTGCAACGAATGCTTCGAACGTTAATCGCCGAAGCCTCGAAAGGCATGCCGTGACACGCACGGCTAGGACTGCGCGGATCGATCGCGGCGCGACGGGAAGTTACAGACCCCGATTGCGGAAATTATCAACGACATGACGTAATTGCGGCCGCTACACGGGAAAGTAATTGCGGCGATTATTGCGCCCGTGGAATCGCCGAATTCGAGGATGCATAATACGAGCGAGTGCTTCCAATCGCGCGGGGCAGAGGAGCGTGTAACTTCCCTCCTCGTCCCTTGGACGAGCGAAACGCTCTCCCCCATGTAGCAGCGACGATTAAACCGCCGAGAAATTTATGAACTCGAATTAACGATAAGAGACCGGTGCCGCTGGCGACCGGTAAACTTGGCTAGTGGTTAATTATTACTAAGTGCACGCGCGCGCTGCGCGAGCGACTCGAAGGAAGAGAGTCCCATGCAAATGGAAGAGCCATTAATTATCGTTGAATATCGGGGCGCGTTTCCTTTGACGTGCTGCGTCAAAAAGATGCTCGGCTTTATTCGCGAAAATATTCATCTTCGTTCATCAGCCCAGACCGCTCGAGCGATTAAAGTGCCAAAAAAAAAAAAATAAACCATAAAAGTGATGTCACTTTCAAGGGTAGCGAAACAGATTTTGATTATTTCACTCGGTACATAATAGGTATCGGAGTACAGATATACTTATTGTAATTCTTTAATGAAAATAATAGAAATTGTTTTTTTTTTGGTCCAATTCACAGATCTATGTCTGAGGTAATAAATTCATAGCAATAAATAGGGGTGTGTCTTCGGGGAGGTAGGCACCAAAGGCCGGTATTCATAGTCAGATCTTATATTCAAGACCGTCTTGAATTTATCTAAAGATGCTGTATGAAACATTTAATTGGCTACGGAGTATCTGAAGATGATCTTAAGACAGTCTTGAATATATATAAGATCTGACTACGGCCTGAGCAGCATGGCCGTCTTGTGCTCTTAAGACAATGTTTGGTGTTTCAAAACTTTGCCTTAAAGTAACGCACAATAACTATCTTGTGACTTAAGAATACAAGACAGCCATTTTGCTCAGGCCATATGAATGTCGGCCTAAGACGCGCGACTTACTAATTTTCAGCGAGAAAAATAACGGGCTGGGACCAGGATTCGAACCTGGGACCTTCCGCTTGCCGGACGAGCGCTACTCCAACTGAGCTATCCACGCCTACGCAAGTGTGCCATGAAAATAGCAACAAATCAAGTTCACTTCTTCTTTTATGAATAACTTTTGTGTTTTAAAGCTCAACCAATCGGAATTTTCAGCATTGCATTTCCCTTAAGTCTTAAGTCTCCTCGTTAGTTCGGGCCTCAACATTTGAATGTCTTCTTCAGTCATGTTCTTTGAAAATTTTTTATAAAATAAGAATTCCTTCCTCTGGCGTTCAAGATGAATGACAAAACTGATAAGTGAACGGAATTGCAGTGTTCGGGCAATTTTTGTCCCAACAAAGACATCTGGATCTCTTATCGGCGATGCTAATTAAGAGCGATTGCGGCATACTGGTAAGTATCTTGGCGTGCGCGCGGCATAATTCGCATTCACCGAAATTGTGGGATAGCCGCGCCGTGACGGACGGTTGGTTGGTTGGCAGCTGCATCGGCGCATCCGAGTCCGTCGCGCAGCGAGAGCAAGCCCGCTCGCTCGATCATTCTCTCGTCTCAAGCTGCATCCCGGGCCGTGCATCGCGCCGCCTGTCTCGCGCCAATTGGCCGCATAATCAGTAATTGCCAGGATGCAGCGGCCACGAGCATCCCTTATAGCGTATTCGCGACGGTTGAACTACGGGCGCCGTGACGGCAGCCGCCGTGAAATCGCCACGCTGGGATTCACGAACATTATTACGGATGAAGGTACGTTCGTCACTATACACGGGAAAAAATGCCGTTGAATTAAAGAAAAATTAAGTTGCTCGAATTAAACGTCACGAGCTGCCACAAATATAAATTATTCACTCAATTGTATTTGCCATGGAAACTATCTGGTGCTTTTCATTCATTAATATTGATGCTGTTTCAACGATTTTATCTCAATTACGCTGATCTTATTAATACATCATTTTCTTCCGTGTACAATCGTAATCTTGAGGAATCTAGAGGAGAGACCCGTATTATGAGGTAAGCTACTAAGCTAGTGGGGTTTCTACTAAACTAATAAGCCATCAGTTGGTCCCACCCGAAACTTATCACTCTTGAAGTGAAAACCACTTTGATCGCGAGGGGTTTGCGTGAAGCAATGAAAACTACGCGCGTTTTTCGATCATCACTGCGGTCCAGTTGTCTGCTGCAATGCTTCGTAGCGTTCTTCTCCTTTCTTTTAATAAACTTGGAACACTTTGGGGCATTTGCAGCATCAAGTGGACCGCAGCCTTGCATTGTGAATACCAGTTGCAATCGCGGGAGTGTTTCATTACGACTCTGAATTTTTCGGGTTCAACAGCGAATCAATGACGGATCATCATCCCCTTTGCTCGCGTGAACGAAAATTAATTGTACGCGACGTCAGCAGAAAACACAAAGTTACATTACGCCCGGGCGAGGGGAAAGTGCACTTCGCACTTGGCGTTTGGCAAACAGCGCGAGAGGCGGGAAGCAGCCAAGAAAAATCCGCAAAAGGAGCGCTATGAGCGAAGCGTAAATACCGTAGGACGACGGAGGACCATCGAATTGGAAAATTCCTTGCGAAGCACTGCAACCGAAGTTCCCTCCGACGCGACGCGGGGATTCTAAGCTCGAGAACGCCGGCGCGTCACGTTGTCCGACTGCAACTTCCACTTCCGACAGTCGGATATTAATAAAGTTCAACCCAAACACGACTTGTCAGTATCCCCCTTTTTTTTTGGCCGCACCGAACGAAGAACTCTTAAAGCTGACCATCTTTTGCGCGCTCCCGAAGGACAAATGCGTCCCCATATTTCGACGGCGAAACGTCGAGTTGGGAAAAAGAATTACGCCAAGAAATAGAATTGCTTTCGGCAAGCGAGCGACAGGACACAACGGCGTGGCGCAAACGTAAGAAAACCGAGGAAACTCATTTTGAAATCGACATCGCGATCGTAAATGACGGACAGACATGAAACATTACAATTATGTGAATTCGGTATTTAGTATTTCCAGAATGTTTTGACCTTGTTGCCTTTGCTTTTAATTTTAAAAGTTTATGGTTATTTTCATTTCCAATTTACTTGCCGTTATACGAATCCGATTAGAATGTGGTATCGATACGATATTCCGCAATTACAATTAGGATTAGCGCCGGATGTAATACGTCGACCGTGCGGACGTCCAGCGGAATAAACGCGAGCGACCATTTTGAGAATTCAAAATTGCAGAGTTGAATATGCGGCGCGCGCTATAACCAATCCGCGATTTGCATTTAATTTCATATACAAGGCACTCACGTTACGACCTGATAAATAATTTCCGCGAATTTTCGCGAGGTTCCGTTCCTCCACGCGCGAGCTTTCCGCGTCGATCGCGTAACGGCGCGGTCTGGAAAAGAGAGCAAAAAAATGTGTGTGAGTGAGTGAGAGAGAGAGAGAGAGGGGGGGAGGACGTGGAAAAAGAAATAAAGGCAAATACGCGCAGCTCTAAAATAAATAGCAATTCGGTGCGTTCGCAGTATTGTCGCGGCAGCCTCATATGAACCGCGCGCGCTATTGAATTAATCAGCGCAACTTTAAAGCGCATCGGCAATAGCGCGATTACCGTTTTCATCACGCGCCGGAACCATTATCGAACATATAATCGAATTCCGCCGCCGGCCGATCGAAAGTCAAACGAGCGCCCGAACGCCAGGCGAAGCGCTCGCTAAAATATTTTCGCGTAATCCGATTGCCCGGCGAGACGCGCGACGCGCGTTCAAAACGCGTTTCGCGTTATCCGATCGTTCCTTCTCCTGCGTTTCTTTCAAATCTGCGTGAAGCCCGTATCAGGCTGCGAATTGGGATTGGGATTAGATTGCAATTTCACCAGTCGTCAGGCCAGTTTCACAAACGTCGGTTAACTGATAACCAGAGTTCAGTCGACCCCCTATCTTTTTCCTTCTTATTATTTAAGAAGAGACGGAGAATCAATTAACCTTTGATTAGCAGTTAACCGATATTTGTGAAACTGGCCCTTAGAGTAAAAGTCACTAAACCTGAAATTAGTAAACTTTACTCTGATTGATCGAATTTCGATCCATCCTCAATCTCAATCCGTAGTCCGATACGGACCTAAACATCGTACAACTTCGAGAAAAACAATTGGCGATTTTACTTCCGAACAAGTCGCATGATTTGCGATTCGTCAAGATGCGGCGACACAGTGGGAAGTGACTATACGTTTTTTTGTTTGTAAAAGAAAAGGTTGTTTTTACCGAGATTCAATACAATTTCGCGAGATGATACGTGATCGAGAGCTCCGTGATAATGTCACTAGTTGGGATTAGATTGAAATTTCACCAGTTAGAGTAAAAGTCACTAATTGAGATTAGTAA